GTCCATTGGTATTTGAGTACCTGCAATTATGCAATAACACACTCTTCTTACTAACAGACATATTGTGATATGGAAAGCAGTGGTGGGGGATGGACAGTAATTCAGAGACGTGAAGATGGCAGTGTAGACTTTCACCGGACATGGAAAGAGTATAAGATGGTAAGAGCCACACTTTTTTGAAGTTTAAATCTAAATTAATACTCTGAAATTTATACAGACAAATATTAATCAGTTACTTAAAGATGTACTGCCTAAACAGATTCTAAAGTTGCATTACAGTACTGAGATGAAGAACTGTGCTTTCATTTGGGAAATACCAGAGCAAATATAAATTGTTTGCCTAAGCAGAGACTTACAAGTATAATGTTTGTTTTTACAAAGAAATGTAGCAATTTTTTCCTAAGTCAGCTATTTCATGGTGCGTCCACTTAATTTTATTAAGTTATTTATATATTTGTGTTTTCACTGGCAAATGTTTCCCAAATCTAATAAGTCTAATACTGATACATTGTTTCAAGTTCCTAAATTGGTCCCTGCTGAAATCCAAAATGTGAAATACCAAAGACCTAGACTCGTCATATCTGTAGTACACTTTGTGTTGACAAAGCAATTACATTTAAAAATTGATGAACTGATTTCAAAATCAAAGCAAAACAAATTAAAGTTATTTAAATATACAACTTGGATTACAGGGATTTGGTGATCCTGCTGGGGAGTACTGGCTGGGAAATGAGTTAGTTTCTCAACTGACTAATCAGAAACGCTATGTTCTTAAAATACACCTGAAAGACTGGGAAGGAAATGAGGCATATTCATTGTATGAACATTTCTATCTAGCAAGTGAAGAACTAAAGTACAGGTAAGAAAATACAGAATTGAGCAAAATAAATAGTTATTAATTCCTGTACATTTTTCAGATACATACTTTTTATATTAATTACAAAGCAGTTGCTTGTAGCATTTAAAGTATGTCTTTGTTACTAATTTTCACCTGAAGCCTGCATAATCTTAGTAGATTTTTAAAAATACAATAGTAGGTACCATTCAGCAGCATAGAGCAGGTAAGTAATACCATCAGGCCCTTCCTTCCCCTTGTAGATGGCCTTATATGCAATACCTATGTGTAAGGGGAGAACCAAACAAACCCAGAATTGGGTGTTGACTCATAGCTCTTGGAGGACATGAAGGGGTGGCCTCCTGTGTGTGTGCATGTGTTCCATTGAGGAGACAGAGAGGCAGAACTAGGCAGATAAGGAATTACACACATCTACTGACATCAATTTCCCAATCTCTATCCATGGACATGCATGCTGCAACCTTAAGGCTAAAATAGCAATTGCAGAGCAGACCCACAGTTTCCCAAAGTAGGACTGATTAGTTCTTGTTTTTGAGAACCAATGCAGCTCCCAACTGAGTTACTCAAAGATGAATGGTGGATCTTCAGTTTATTCTAATGGCAAGGATTTAATTGTTTCTCTTGTATTAATAAACCTTTATATCTAGCAGAGTGCTCTCATAATTTTAGCTTTCATATCCTGTCCACAGATAGAGTTACTCCTATGTTAAAAAGGAGAGTATTCAGGGGGGAACTTTATTTAATTCCATTCAAGAATAGAATTTTAGTCTTGCATTTAGGGCAAAAGAAGTTACCAAATTAAAGTCAGGAACTACTTAAAAAAAAAAAAAAGACTGAAGCCACTTAAACCATGATTCCTAAGAATCCTGCAGGCTGAATGACTGAGCAGACTGGTAATGTGATAAGGACCCTCTCACACAGGGAAAGGCTGCATAAGGTGAACTATCTGGAAGAGAGTTGTAATAGGAAGAAGTAGCATGAGGAGGCATTCAGTTCTGCTGTTCAAGCTATGTCCAACAGAGAAGCTAGGAGACTACAAAGAAAGTCCATCTGACACTTTTCATTATACCTAAATTCATACATATCTAAATGAAAATCTTTATAAAATAAAATTTTGCACCCAAAAAATCAAACTGAATCCAAGGAGCTCACAAGCCATTAAAAACATTATGAAGTCTCAGTCATCACTGCTTATCAAAGAAAATAAAATGAGAATAAATGTATTTCCCCATCAAGAGATCACAATGGCAAATTGAAAATTACACTTTCACTTCACTTTGGCCTCCCATATACAAAGCAGCCCAAAATGGAAAGTTACTCACTGACAATTGGTGTATTTCAAGATGGCTCTGCGTATTCACAATTACAGTGTACAGCATCCGCTGTTTTGCGGTGTTTCATAGTAGAACCTTCTTCTAGCAGTCAGCTCATTTCAGTGACAAGGATGCACTGAGGATGAGATTATACAGAAGATGGTGCAGGAGTCTAATTGCTCACATCAACAGGTAAAGAGCCTGTGGATCTGTGAGAAAGATTCCTGCCTTCTTGCTGAAACAATAGGTTTGGAGATAGTGCTAGATACATTAATACTCTACTGAGGAGCTAAAGATCAGTAAATCATTGTTGATGTGGTCTAGCCAGGGCAATGATAATCATCTTCAGAGCCCTGAAAGTCAGTGGATATCTGCTTTATATCCACAGGTGTCTGCATCTGCAGCTCATTTCTGCAGATGTAGATACACATTTTATATCTAGAACCCTGAAAATGTGCAGATATCCATTTTATATCCACAGGTATCTGCATTTGCAGATGTGAATGCAGATACTCTTAGCTCATTTTTGGGATACAGATGCAGCTGCAGATACAAATTTTGTATCCACACAGGGCTGTAATCATCTGTGCTTGTCCTGGTGTATCTCACCACCTTCTGTATCAATAAAAAGGGGCGAAAGGCATAGCCCAAGCCCATTCAACAATGCAGCAGGAAAATCTCTGACAGAGATAGTCCCTACCCACTGGGGAACAGAAGAGGTCACACTTTTCATTGGACTTTGTTGCAACCAGCTTCAATTCAAGCTCACTAGTGGGTCAACTCAAGATGACCACACAGCCCTGATCTGGACATAAGTAGTCTCAGGAGCTTTACTGAGGGAGCTACAGGAACTGAATCCAGATGCAACAAGGATTTCAGTTTCTTGAAACCCTTTGGTCACTTGGAGTGACTAGACCACATAGGAGCCATGACTGGCCTCTGAGACCTTGGATCTATGAACTGAAGGGTCTAGCTCTGAGTGTTTTCATGAGAAGGACCTTCAAGTGAGTCTCCCTGTCCTTGCAGGCTGTAGGATGAAAGTTACAGCAAATCAAATATCCAAAAAATTGGTGTCCTCCTCCCAAACAGTTGAGGTACTGCATGTGGTCACTGGACGCCAGAAAGACATATGGGCAGAAAGTGCCCCTCTTGAATCCTGGCTTCCTCTGCTTTTTCAATTCCACTATAACCCAGAATGACAGAAAACATTAACTATATTAACAGCTAACACTATTTTAAGAAAAAGACTCCAGCTCCCAAACAGACTGGAGAGATTCACATCCACCCATGCACACAGTTGGAAAGAACTGAGGATGCTTCACACCTTATATAACCTCACCCAGAATATCAGTGATGCTGGGGGAAGAGAGGAAGGAGGGGAAGGTGAGTGCTCTAGCTTAGTGTTTCTCAACCTTTTTTTGCTCATGGCCCTCTTCTGAGTCTCGTATACCTCTGTGGCACCCCTCATAGCCGCTGTTAGTTGGAAAAAAAGGTACATAATTTACTTAATGCTCTGTTTTTTCCATGTGGCCCCCTAGAGGTAGGGTGTGGCCCCTGGGGAGACATATGGCCTACGGTTGAGAACCAATGCCTAGCTGACACTGCAAGCTGAGAGTGCCACCACAAGGTGGCTCATTACCCCATAAGTGGGAATATTCAGAGCCATCAGTCAAGGAACCATCAGTCTCTTATCTCATTCCCATCCCCTTCCAAAACTGCATGCAGTTGCTTCAAATCCAAACCAAATATTTTCTCATCTGGAAACAGAATCTACAGCAGCAATTTTATTTTTAAATTAAGGCACTATAATATTTATAAGGACAACCTTTACAAAAAGGGTCATTACCCCTGTCCATTTACATAATTAAAAATAATTACTGCAAACTAAGATTACTATCTGCAAATATATACTTCCTCTGGAAATGCAATCAAGTATTTGATGTGCCATAAAATGCAGTTTAAAATAAGGATGTTAAGGACTAGTAGACTATCGAAATAGTTATCAGATAGTCAATTAACTAGTCGATTTCCCTCTCCTCCCTCCCCCGCTCTATCAGATAGAGGCAGCAAGGGGTGGGGGGGGGAAAGAGGGGATACTTCAAAGCAACAGTGCTGCATGGAGCCTGTACTCAGGCTCCGTGCGGTGCTGCCGCTTTGAAACACCACCTCAGTGTTTAAGGGTCAGCGCTGCATGAAGCCCGAGGTCAGCTCCATGCGGCGCTGCCCCTTTGAAATGCCGCCATAGTATTTCAAGGGGACAGCACTGCATGGAGCACCGGGTCAGCTCCGTGCAGTGCTGCTTTGAAACACCAAGGTGGCATTACAAAATGGCAATGCCTCGTGGAACCTGGGGTCAGCTGGGGTCTAGCTGATCCCAGGCTCCAGGAGGAATTTCTGCAGAACCCGAGATGAAGTGGGGAGTCCCCCTGCTGACCCCGGGTTCTGGGGAAATGCTGCGCGGAACCCGGGGTCAGCTGTGGAGTCCTCAACTGATTCCAGGTTCCATAGAAATGCCGGGCAGAGCCCAGGACCCTAGGTGCTGCGTGGCATTTCAAATCGCTGACTCCAGGCTCCATGCTGGAGCTTCCACTTTGAAAAGCACAAGAGCCCCCACTGGCCTTGGGCTGCATGTGGAGTTCCTAATTCCTCCTGATGGGGCTCTTGTACATTTCAAAGGAAGAATGCAGTATTCTGCGTGCAGCCCGGGGAAAGCGAGAACTCCTGCACGCAGCGTGCCAGCTTTGTAATTACTTAACATTATGAAAAGGATATGCATTTCAAAATTATCTTGAAAATATTGAGCTGTGCTATAATATTTCATGACCTAAAATTAATTTCTTTTTACAATAGTAAATTTTTAAAATGCTTCTAAAAGGTCTAAATAAGTTGCTCCAGGAAACAAACTGATATACTGATCCACCTAACCCAGAAAGATATATGGTCAGAATAAGACTAAGTCATGAGATCTAGCTCTACTCCCATCTGATAAACTTCCTGGGTAACTTTGGGCATGGCGACCGGTGTTTCCCAATTTTTTCATCTATATAACTGAGAGAATTATAGTTAGCAATCTGAAAAGGAGGCTGTGAACTATAACTCTTCAAAGCACTTAATAGGCATTAATATTGTTGTACTTAGAAAGTGAGAGAGATTGTATCCAAAATATTATCATTGGTTAATTTCATGAGATTTTTCCATAGAGTTACAGGTTGCTGGGCACTTTTGGAAATAAGGTCACTATCGCATTCCAGGATGCAATTCAAACCAGCGAGAAGTTGTGTCACTGCCGGTAACCAGGTGCCTCTCAGTGCTTTGCTCTTGTAGCTCCCAGACGGGGTTTCTCACAAACAGCCTAGCAGCATTCAACTCACATGCTGAGTGTCTGTGTATAGCTATATTGACACTACCATCTTGTTAGCAACACTCCAGTCACAGTCTAGTTTCCACCAACCTTGGTTGCTATCTACAAAGTGACCCCAAATTTTCCCCAAAATGTGTATTCTGTACTGTTTAGCCTTCTCCTGGACAGTTCAGATAAGGCGTCAATATATAGCAGTATGCTACTTTAAATTCAGTTTAACACACAAAACTATATTCATTTTGATTAAAAATAAAACAAGAATATTTAACAATAAAGAGATTTTAAATGAGTACAAGTATAAGGTATGATAGTCAGAAATGGTTACAAGAGAAATAAAAAGAAAATGCTTTCTAGTAATTAAATGTAAACAAGCTACATTTAGGTACCCAGTAATATTATTGGCCAAATTCTCAGGTTAGATATTCCCCCAAATTCAAAGGACTATTTCCTTTGTCTTCTTAGGTCACAGAAAGAATGAGAGCAAGCTTGGGATATGTTTTGCCCCTCTCTTTTGTAGTCCAATAAGCCTTTCAACTGCATTTTCCTAAGGGTTACCCCTAAATAAAGTTCATTACAACTTGATAGAGACAGGGAGTTGCATGGTGAAAAAAAATGTCCATTTTGGTTTTTCGTTAAAATTCTAATTGATCTATTCTCACAATTCTTTTATTGAAAAAAAAAAGTCACTTGACTGGTGATTAGCAATCAACTTTGACAGCTGGCTAGAGGAGTCAGATTATCTTCTGTCTTTAAGAAACTGGTTAACCCAATCCCCAGACATATCCAGTAAACACACTGTAATCAGTTTCATCTTATGTTCATAACTCTTAATAGCATTATCTAATATATATATAGAAGATATTGTTATTAGCTTTTAAATGATACCTCAGGCATATTTTGGACAACGATTATTATAATAATGTGTAGGGGTGTTTTTTGCTCAGACACTTATTTAGTTAAGTGAATACAGACTTTAGGTCCCTAACTTTAGAAGGCTTTTTAAAAATATTTTTGTCACTAAGGCACTTGCAAAATACATTGCTTTCTATTTGAAGATCTCAAACCATTCTATAAGAATGAAATGAATTAACCTTCATAAACCCTGTAAGGTAAATTTTCAAAAACTCTGAAAAATATAAGTTAAGATTAATCACATCAGATTAAAAAAAAAATCCAAAGGCTATTCAATCAAAATCAACAACAGTTCATATTTATATATAGCTTATTACCCTACCATATTCCAAAGTGATTCATAAATTAAAAATATATGACAACCCAACTCTACTGGAGCCTTCAATGAAGCAGGAAAGGAAGGAACCAAATTCTATAGCACACCAAACAGGAGGGAGAAATTTAGGTCCAAAACACCTGAGGAAATCTGTATTCTTCAGAAAGTTGCAAGGGTATTTCACATCAAAAGTAGTTCTAAATGGTAATTCATAGGTATCCTAGTTTTAATTCAACCATTTTTATATAAGTACTGTAATTAGAATAATGGTCTTTTTACATCAGGCATTAAATAATGTTTGAAAACTAACCCGAGACTTGCACACAATGTATGGAAACTGTCAATCTTTGACAAACTGTATTAGAAATTGGCTCAACTGGATCAGTATTTGAAAACTAAATCCCAACTCTTTAAAAAAGTGTTCAACATTTACATTACTCTCTTTCTACAACCACCTAGACTTTTAAAAAGAGATTCAAAAAAAAAAAAAAGACACCATACTTGTAAAATACATTGTTAATGAGAAACATCTATATTCCTTGTATAAAACTATAAAGAAGGGTTATGTGGTTAGAATATTCTGTTTATAACTGCCCGAGATTCTTAAAAATCATTTTAAAACTAAAATGTAGAGAAAAAAAATCAGCATTGTAATAGAAGTGACTCCAGGATAAAGGGCCTTGATCTAACAACACTGTACGACAGGCAGGAACATAGCAAAAATCAAGACAGGTTTGAGAAGAAATTAAAAATTCCTTAGGTCAGTGCTTCTTCCTTAACAAGACAGCTCTATACTACTAGTTATTCGCATGACTATGAAATACTACATAGTTTGTATTTTCCTTCCAATATTTGACAATTAAAGGAATAATTGTTGACCATGAAGTGATTTGATTTTTTGTTTTTTAAATTCTCAAAAGATTTGCAAAGGAAGACTTCTATTTGGAAAGGAGAAAGGAAAGGACAGACAAAATCATCCTTATTACTAACAAAATTTTACCCATCACTGATGCACCATTTTCATGTTAGATTGCCAAAGTTCATTAATACCAGTATGAGAATAAGGCATGGGGAAAATTAAATAGAGGATTTAAAAATCCATTACTACTGGTGCTTGCATGCAATACATTTTAATATTTCAAGTTACTATAGGTAAAAGAGCTATACCAGAGTACATTTCTCAATGATTATCAATATATATTTCCATTTAATCTGTTAATCTGACAGATAGAACAAACATCAATAAAACAGGTTATTTTATCTCTTCAGTATAATGTTCTGCTGATAGTGTTACTGTTCATACAAACATAATAAATGTCAAACGTAGTTTATAGCAGTACATTAATAAAAGGAGAACCAAACTGTTTAAACAGGATATTTATTGCAAAAATGTTCTTATTACTGTGTAGATCAGCTGCCAATAGCTTCAAACTAATATTTGTTTTTCTGTTCTACACTTCTACAGGATCCACCTTAAAGGACTTACTGGGACAGCGGGCAAAATAAGTAGCATCAGCCAACCAGGAAATGATTTTAGCACAAAGGATGCAGACAATGACAAATGTATTTGCAAATGTTCACAAATGCTAACAGGAGGTAGGAATAGTTTTCTGTTTCTCAATCTTCCTATTTTTATTGGTAATAAAACAGTCCATGAGGTAAATAGATGATAATTTTGACATATTAAGTCCTGACTAGTGACAAAGTCCAAAACTTACAATTGGAAATGCCAATTCAGTGAGTTCAAATTTACTATTTTTACCATTTTAGACAGCTCAGCTAGTTAAATCAGGAGGGAGGGAGGAAGCCATCATTCTCTCACAACTTGTACCACAACAGGGCCTGCTATTGTGAAACTGGTATGAACAGAAGACAGCAGAGTTTTCTTCCAAATAACTCGGGAAAATAGCTCAATGATCAATATGCCCAAAACATATCAATAACCATCTTTTTAATCAACAACATTATTTCCAATTGTTTAATCAGGCACAAGAAATCTCTAGTGATCCTTTAGGAACTAAGCGTGTTGTAGGCTCTTTCAAAGTATGACAATTATAATGCAGCAGTCATAGAACGGGATGGGCAATATATAGTAATTCCTCATTTAACACTATAGATAAGTTTTAGAAAATGATTGTGTTAAGTGAAAACGTGTTATGCGGGGTCAATTTTCCCATTGAAAATAATGGAAATGTGGGAGTTGCGTTTCAAGCAGTACTGTCTGTTGGGATCAGGACATAAGGTTGGAGGAGAAAGGGGACTGAGTTACAGCAGGGAGGGGAGGTGTTTGGCTCTGGGGAAAGGAAAGGGAGGAGAGGGGAGGGGGATTGGGTTCGCAGTATGCCCGTGTGGGGGGCCATTCCAAGATTTTGGAAAAACTTACAACACAACAGATAGTCTAGCAGCACCTCAAAGATTAACAAAACATGTAGATGATATCGTGAGCTTTCTTGGGCACAACCAACTTCTACAGATGAATGGATTTGTGCCCATGAAAGCTCATGATACCATCCACATGTTTTGTTAGTCTTTAAGATGCTGCTAGACTATTTGTTGTTTTTTAAGTTTTTCCAGTTAGATTAATTCCACTACCCCTCTGAAGTCCAAGATTTTGGTAACTGGTCAAGGGTTGCACTTCTGCGGAGGAAGCCCAGGGTCTGGGATAGCGGGTGGGGTGTAGAAGGGAGCTTGGGATAGCGGACTGGGATGCAGGAGGGAGTTTAGGTCTGAGAGCTTGGGTGAAGGAGGGGGTTTTGATCTGGGGCAGGAGCTTGGGTGCAGGATTCAGGAAAGGATTCTGGCCTGGGGAAGGATGTAGGAAGGAGCAGAGAGTCTGGGAGGGAGTGGTGACCTGGGGAAGGGAATTGGTGTACAAGGTCAGGGAGGGGTATGTGTGCAGGAAAGGATCCTGGCCTGGGAGAGGGTTGCACAAGGGGGTGCAGAGTCTGGGAGGGAGTTGTGACCAGGAGGAAGTGGGAAGAGGGGACACAGAGTGCTTCGGTGGTGGCCTGGAGCAGGTATTTGGGGGGAAGTGAGGGTATGAGGTGCCAGAGGCAGGCTCTGGCTGGGAGGCACTTACCTAGGCAGCTCCCAGCTAGCAGCTCTGCAGGAAGCCGTGACTGGCTCCACGCCTGTGAGCTGTGCTGCTCCACATGGCTCTGCTCCAGGGCACAGGGAGGGAGGGAAGGAAGGAGTAAGGAGGCTTCATTTGTTGCCCCTGCCTTCTGCAAAATTTCTCAGCTCCTATTGGCTGGAAACTGGCCAATGGGAGTTGAGGGATTTTGCTAGGGGGCGGGGACAGTGCACAAAGCTTTCTCCTCCCTGCCTAGACTGCACAGAAATTAGCAGCCTGCTGTCTAAAGCAGCTGCAGCTACTCTGTAGTAAGGGTGCCAGTAAGGGTGCCAGCAAGGCAATTGCGGGCTGGATCCAGCCCACTAGTTAAGTTTTGCCTGCCCATCATGGAAGAAGCTTTTCAATAATACAAACCATTATTTATTTGCATATTTAAATACAATTTGAAATGAGATGACATTTACTGAAAGCATACTAAAATTCATATATAGGTGGATACATTCTGGATCAATTTTATTCATAAGTTTGTTGATATTACATTTTAGTTTTTTTGGATATTTTTGGATCTTAAAGCAGGTTTAACTTTATCTATAGTTCCAGTAATTTTCTGTATTTTACATGTTGCTTAACAGAGAATGGAAGGCGCACACAATTTACAAAGCACTGATCTGTTTCCTGAGTGTACAGATTATAAATCTGAAGGCAGGTTAAATTCATCCAAAGGGCGAACTGGATTATTGCCTTGTAAAACACAGCACCCCATCAACATCACTAACACAAAAATGTAAAACTATTGTTTTTACTAATAAAGTTTCCCTATTCGTTACTAACCACTCAGGACAACATGTGAAATTTGAAGAAAAATGTGAAACTGAATAAATCTAGCTACTTTTTTCCTCACCATTTCATTATACAGTGTTCATCTAGTTACTGCAGTACTGAGTGGTTTAGAAATAGTGCACATCTTTACAGACTTTCACCACAGAAGCAAACTGAATTCACTGTAAGAAAAGCAATATTCATTTAAGTAGAAATATAAGATTTAAAAGTACAAATGATAGTCTTGAACGAAGACAAAAGGAGAGGGAGAAAGATGTGATATGAAGCCAAATTCTGCCTTTAGATGTATCACCATCAACCGCTGAAATATGTAGCAAGTTAAGCTTTTGAGGAGTTTATTGATGTCCTTTCCCTTAAATTACTACCACATCCAATAAAACACTACAGCTCCTATGGCCAAATTTTGTAGTGTATATTCATTCCTCAAGTACATTACTCTGCTATATATTTTATCACGGTTAAAGTTAGTAAGGAAGAGCGATCTGGAGGCAAACATTTATTTATATAAACACACACAAAAAGAACTAGATGTTTTAACGTCCTCCATTTGTTTTCAGTTTTCGTTGTGTATAAAATTAATGATAATTTCATTCTTTCAGATGTATGTTTGTTTTCTGTTCTTGCAGGCTGGTGGTTTGATGCATGTGGTCCTTCCAACTTGAATGGAATGTACTATCCAGTGCGACAGAACACCAACAAATTTAATGGTATTAAGTGGTATTACTGGAAAGGCTCTGGTTACTCTCTCAAAGCCACAACTATGATGATCCGACCAGCAGATTTCTAAACCAGCTTTTCATTGTATGTGAATTTTGTATCGTATAGTTTTCAAAGACTACATTTGCCAAACATTTAAACTCACAGCTGCAACTTGTCTTTTTCCAGCCCAGAAAACATGCACTAGTATTCTGAAGGGATCAATTTGTTCTGATATTGAATTGCGATAGTCTTCATCAGCTCAAGCTCACATTACTCAACTAGACACAGCAAAGTTTAAAACATGAAATAATCTGATTTAACAATGATTTTGGCAGAAAGACTGAGTAAAAAGAATGTCCAAGAAACTGTTGGAAAATTTAAGGACTTTGTTTTCTTTATCATTATGTTGTTAGTAAATAACTGGAACTGTGAAAAATATCTAAAACACTTAGTTTTAGAAATGTGTCTTTGTGCATATCACTGAACTTTAAATGTTACACTAATATAAAATGTTCTGAACTTGATATCTAAATCTAGAACTATTTTTCTATCCTGTACTTTGTTTGCAGTTTATGTACATAAAATACACAGTACCTTGTAATTAACTCATTGTAATAACTAAAGGATACATTCCTTCCAAAGTTTCTAAATAAATTTTTAGACTATAATCAGGGCTTTTCTTGTAGTCCACAATAGTTTATTTAACAATCCTAGGAGAAATAGCATCTTCATTTAAGTGTATTCTTGGAAAATACTGTGTATAATTGATCACTATTTTTTTTTAAACTATCAGATTTTGTACTTATTGCAGTTGATATTTTAAAGTGCAAACTATAGTATGGTATCATGAATTTCATTATATTTTCTATGAAATATTGTACTTTTTCCTTCCTAGTTGTTTGATATATAATAACTGAGACTTAAATATTACACAATGCTGTTGCCTCACAAACAGAAAACTTCTGTTCTCCATGACAATTAAATATTAGACTTTTGGTTAGACTTTTAAAAATAAGCTAATTTTAATAACTTCTTTAAAACCAATCTATTATTTTATGGAGCAAAGCTCATGTTTATTTTCTAAGATAAATTTTATTGAATTAGGAGAAAAGAGAAACCCAAATATATGCTACAGTTAGATCGTTTGGGGTTTTATGTGTGGCGGAAATATCTGCACGAGGGCTCGGGTAATTCTGAATATGGTGGTAATTTAAACCTCAAAGTATATCTTTAAGTAAATAAACAGCTTTACTAGGTGATTTTCCCATTTGTTGTACTAATATGATTAAAAACTATGTTATAGGAACATGATAGAAATGCAAGTAATGCAGTGGTAGCACGTAATGTTATGAGAATTATTTAAGGAAAATGGAGGAAGAAAATAATTAGAGATATAAAAATACTTCATAGTGATTTATACCCAAGGAATGGAAACTAAATTGAATTGTTCTAACTAGCATTTTACATAATAGGCAAAAATATAATTAAGACTATATTTTTAAAATATCTTACATCACATCTACCAAGCTTATATAATTCTTCTTCAAAAATACTAAGTCAAAAGACTACTTTGCAATTCACTTCCATAATGTGGCTGTCTTACAAATGGTATACTACTTAATCTCCTATTTTTAATTCAAAAGATCAAAATAGTCTCAATACTTTTTATTCATATGAAGAAACACAAAAGATATCCTCAACATCTGAAATATTTAGGTCATTACCACAAAAACAATCCATTCTTTAAGAATGCTCAATAAGGACCATCTTAGTATCTGATAGCACAACATGAGCACAGACTGGCCAGTCATTAAATAAAAACCATGCTTCAACTATAATCTTCAGTTTGTCTAAGGAAAGTACAAGGACAGAACCAGATAATGAAATAAATGTTGATTTGAGGTTTAATTTTGTCTTCTTTGTTTCTATTAGTAAAGTATGAATTCCTGTTTTTAAAAAATTATCTGTTGAATTGCTCAAAATTTTTTTAGCACATCTAAGAAACCCACTGTTGATCTAGTCTGATTTTCCAAAGCTTTCAATCTGTAACCTGACATAAACCTTAATCATTACTCCAGTCAAAATTTAAAATCAGTCTGTAATTACCGTTTCCAATTTTATTTGAAAATTTTGTAGTTTTAAAATCAAAACCTAATGTTTAAAATTCAGTTAATCAGTTTAGATGCCATCCTAACTAAATACAATTGCATGGCTTATTTAAGGTGCAAATACTATCTAAAAGAGACTATGCATGTATGTGATGTGGTAGTGTCAACCATTCAGTGTCTTGTACTACAACCTGTAGTGACTACACAGTAGAAAAAAAGAGCACCTTTTTCCTGTGTTCTTCCCCAACAATCTTCAAAAGTGTAAGTGTTGTATATTTCTCCATTCCTATCCTATCCTTCCTTCTTAAATAAGAAAAGGAAGGGAACCCTTCTGAGCGCAACTAAATACAACAAGAAAATTTAAAACACCTTGAATGGAAATGACTGAAAAGATGATAGACTCACATAGTCACATAAAAAGTACAACACAGACAAAAGCAAAACTAACTATCTGAACGGACCTAATATCCCTCAACCTCGTCTCAATGGTCTCCAACCCTTCCCAATTCTACCATAGGAATGAAGGTGATAAGCAGATTGACGTTTATTTGGAGAATGTTTGCAAACAAAATACTAGATAGAAGTAAGGACACTAACAAAAGACAGAAATCATTGTCAAAGGGCTTTACAGATGTTGTGCGAAACTATTGTAATTACTTATAACAAGCCAAGTTATTAGCAAGAAAAAAGGTTTGAAAAGAAACAGAAAACCCTACATCCTTAAATTAAAATGATCTGGCTTTCTCCTGCTTCTCTCTCACACATAATGCATAAACAATGACTGGTACAACAGAAGCAGCACACCTACATGACAAAAAAGTACATACTAGTTATCTGCTACCCCACAACATCTCCCTCCTCCTCTCTCTGAAAGGACTGTTAGGTTAAACAAATCTATAAATGTATCATTAGTTTCTTTCTACAATCACACAATAATAGAATAGTAGAATAACTTGTATTTTCTCTAAACTATAATAGCATGCTTACTTAAAACCAAAGAGAAATCCTTATCTCAGAAATGTTCAGATTTCATAAAATGATTATGAATGTAAACAGTATTTAAAAATCCCAGTTTCAAAGAATAACACAAAACTGTGTGTGACACTATATGAAACAGCTGAAGAAAATGTCTTACACAGCTAAAACAAATTATAAACATTTTTATCATGTAATCATTATCTGGTTGGTACAATCCTGTTTGTATTGAAGTCCAAAACTAGTTTATTGCTTAAAACCTCAGACAATATGAAGTGGAAGTATTCCTGGAGATAGCCTAGGATATGCAGGATATAAAACTGTTTGCACAAATGCTTAATTCATTGTTTGGGAACTAGCATTTAAGAAGAAGTGCTGTATATTACTCACTTACTAGGTTGTGAAGCCCAAAGCGATTTTAAGTTCCTGAAATCCATTCAATGGAAAAAAACAGTAATGTAAGCTACATCTGGGACAGAAGTATTAAAGCTATGCCCTGTTGTCTTTTCCCATCTGATAATATTTCTTGCTGTGCTCAGTTGGAAAGTAACAAGTGATACTACACAGCTCAAGAACATGCACATTTAAACATGAAACTTAGGCCAGGTCTACACTACATACTTTCATCAGTATAGCTATATTACTCAGAGATGTAGAAAATCTTAATCCCTGAGCAAGGCAGTTACAGCAAGCTAACTACCACTGTAGAGAGCTCTATGTTGATAGAAGAGTTTCTCCTGTGAACATAGCTAATGCCTATCGCAGAGGCAGGTTAACCAGACTGATGGGAGAAGTTCTCATTGCAGGGGTGCAATTTTAACTACAGACCTGCTCTCACTTACTCTGAAGTTATTTGGCAAGCAATGTTTACATATTATACCACAGGGTTTTGCTTACTGTTCAGGAAGGAGGACTGAGTAAGAGTGAAGAGAGAGAGAGAGAGAGAGAGAGAGAGAGAGAGAATGTGTTTATTTTTTTTTTAAAAGACACTTATGAGTAAGTCACCAATTATTAACCCAATTTCTGTAACTATTAATTCAAGAGAGAAATTAATCTAAATTCACAACAGAGGAGCAATTAACTTACAGGAGCTGCAGGGAAGTTGGTTGACAATTCATATGGTTCCTCTGAAATCCAATGTCCACATTCCAGAGACCACAGTACCTAAAAGAAGGCAAGCAATAAGTAGACACTAAAATTCTATAGTACCTTTTAGAGGCAATAAAACAGCAGCCATTCTGAAAATATAATTTAACTAACAGTGAAGTTACAATATTCAATTGTATTACCCAAATCAGAAGTTTTCCTGAAGATTAATAAGAGGTTTAAAAGTAAGAGAATTTGTGGTCACTTACACTGAAGTCTTTCCTTTCTTCAAAAGGGATAGGACTAGATATTCTTAGTGTGGATCATCACCTGTCTGTAGGTTTAGAATAAAAGCTGATTGGATAGCTGATAAGAGACTATCTTACAGAGACCACCTTAGTATCAAGATGCTTCTGAAGTTTGCCTCTCTGGATTGTGAAATAAAAACCTCTCTCTCATATCCTCCATCAGCACCTTGCAAAAACAGCAGTTGCACAGAAAGCTCCAGGAGCAAGGGATACCAATGCTGATAGGCCCAGGCAGGAGCTATCAGGATGGTATTTGTCTTGTCTCTGCATAGCTTGAGAAGTACCTTGTGGACCAACAGGAATGTGGAGGGGGGGGGGGGGGGGGAGGGAGAGAAGGTTGGGAGGAAGAGTGTTGGTATGCCATGGAATCAGGAATGTATTTGTCACTGACCCAGGGATAAAATTGTAGAACTGAGCAAAAATGTTGGAACTACCAGTTCTGCCAAGTTGCAAAGACATCCAACCAGGGAAACCCACCATTGGAAGATGATGTGGAGGATGCCCAGTTGAAATGATCACTCATTGGCAAAGAACCACCTGCTGAGGCAATATAATACAATATAGTGTAATACATGGAAGTCATGTTGTCTGTCAAGATTCCACTGCATTGGTACTCTGTCCTTGGGCACACCTTCAAAAGGCCTGCTTAGACCCAGAGGAAGGCTTAAACTGGCTTTGGTTGTTACCATACCGTGGTCCAGACGGCTTGTGACAGAAGTAGCATGGTCACTGATGCAAGAAGTCAGTCCTGAGTCGGGACTGGTAAGGTCTCTGCAGAGGCTGGAGCTTGAAAGTTTTCCTTTGAGTGGCCAGTGTGTGCATACTCAAGGACTGCATCGCATTGGTTGAGTTCTTAAGCTTATGGAGATGGGAGCTGGCCTGACCTGCACTCAGCCGCTCCCCATCGAAGAGAAGATGTTGGATCATTTGCTGCACCCCTGAGGGAAGGCCCAAAGGCTGGAGCCACGCAACTCACTTCATGGCAATACCAGAGATCAAGACCCATGCCACCAATGAGACTTGGATGCAAGTGCAGCAGACCTCCTTTCTGTCCTAGATGATAGCCATAAACTCATTACAGGAGTCCTGGGGAAGCTGGTCCTGGAATTTCAGGAGGGAAGACCAGGCTTTAAAATTATAGCAGCTTAGGATGGTCTGCTGGTTGACAATACAGAGCAGCAGTCCCCTTGACCCACCAGCCCCGCCCTGTAGAGTAGACCTTATGGCCCCAAAAAAAAAAGATGCTTAACATCCTTCAACACAGAACACCAAAGCCACCAGGACCCAGCCCTTTTCTCATTAATTGCTTCTGCCACCAGAGAGAAAGGAGAGGAATGCAAAAAGAGATGCTCGAACCCTTTTCCCGCATGAAGTATTTATGCTATACCCCTTTAGCTATGCGGGTAACTGAGGCAGGTGTTTGCCATACGGTCTTGACCGAAGACATCGTGGTCTTAATTATGGGGAGAGCCACTCTAGAAGGGGCCTCCATGGTCAAGACATCTATGACAGGGTCATCCTGTTCGACCGCTTCCTCCGCTTACAGCTACAGGCAGGTGGAAACCTCACAGAGCAAGTCCTGGATTTCCCTGTAGTCCCTGGAGGAGGACCCCCCTGAGACTGACATGCTCACCACACCTCATCAGGAAAGGAGAATGAAGAGGCACTCCTGCTCTTCTACAAGTTGGTCTTGCCCCTGGCTTAGAGGGTTTGAGCAGGGTCTAGTGCTGGGGAGTGGCTAACCATTTCCTCTGTGACTCTGGATTTGAAGGGTCTGAAGGAAGCTCTCCTGGGAATAAGCGCTGGGCTTGGTTGTACTGAGGAACTTACTGACCACTAGGGAACAGGTTGGGCCCATGGAGGACCAATGGAAGAGGACCTGTCCAACATCACCAAGACTTTCCTCTGGAACGATGCTGTAGAGCCTCATCAGGAAGGATATAGAGGTATGAGTCAGTAATGAAGGAAGGGACACTCAATGCCATGTCCCGATGAATGCTTATGTGCAAAAATATTGACCCTTCACGTGATTGTGACCAACATGGAGACTGCTTCAAGGCCCAGGAAAAATGGCATTGAGACAAGGATCGGTGCCAGGATTGAGACCAAAATCTATGCTGAGATGGGGTCCAGGACAAGGGTTGGAATTGCAAGCAGGTTCTCCGGATGGAGTGTGATCCATGGTGAAACCAATGGTCAAGTTGGTGTGGTGGTGACTAGTGCTGAGAGTGCTCCGCACGCCTTGAGGAATAGTGCAGAGAGTGCTGTGAAGCCCAATGCAGGTCTGAAGAGCAGCCCGAGGAGCAGCACCATCAGGTGGCAGTGCTGGGAGGAGTCAGAGCTGGCTGACAATGAAGGTAACTTCTGTGCCAGTTACTACGGGAGTGGTAGGAATGATGAGACACAAGTCAAACCAGAACAGGATGCAACAGAAGCTCTTGAGTGGGAACAGCTTCAAGAGGGCAAGCATGGATGATGCTACAAGTCAGACCATTGCTGCAAGTGGGACCAGCGATGCTGGTACTCAGACTGGTGTCAGAATTCCATGTGGCACTGGGACACCGAGACAGCAGCCAGGGACCTCAGTATGGAAGGCTTTCCTTGTGAGGTATGGTGTGAGGCCAGAGGTCCATCTTGAGGCCGAAGAGTTTGGGTCATCTCTATAAGGCCCCAAGCAGCCTCAAAGATGTCTGGCATGGAGGACTGGACAACCAGCACTGCCTCCATCCTAGAAGAGTCCAGGAAGATGGGATTCGCAGCACAGGAAGAGCCCTACACTTCGGAGCTGCGGGGTTGAGAGTCCTCAATGCCAGTTCACGTTGAGGGGATCGGCCCTGGAATTGTCAAGGGTGCCATTGGCGTGGACTTGGCAGCCTTGGAAGACCACACTGGAGATCGAGCATAGCACCCTGACAGGCCCAATGGGGACTTTCTTCAGTGAGAGTCCTTCGGTGCTGATGCCGATGACTATGTGCTGTAGACCATGCCAGGTCCAGGCGATGTGGATCCAAGGCAGATTCCATGGAGAGATGTCTTAAATGAATGTCTTGTTCCCTTCTGGTTCAAGGCTTGAATGCCTTACATATCTTACATTAGTCAGGTTGGTAAGCTTTCCCCAGATACTGAAGACATGATTCATGGAGGGTCACTCATTGGCATGCCTTTTACACAAGAGCTGCACTGCTTAAAGCCCTAGGCCTATGGCACGCCCTAAGTCCCCAGAGGGACACGGGAGAGAAGGGAAGGCCCCTTTGATCCCATTGCTAAACACTTAGCTGGCTATTTATTACCTATTGTTAAATGCAGTATCTAGCTAGCGATGAATGGATGTTTTGCAGAGCAAGTGAGCCAATGTTCCAAAAGTTGCCATTGACAGTAAGAAGGAACTGAGGAGCAGTTGGATTTGGCAGGGTCATATATAGGATCTCACACTGGCACCACTCCAGGGGCTCCACAGCCAACCTGATGGGTAGCAGCTAGGGAAAACCTTTGACAGTCACGCATGCAGCTGCACACACCTAATTGGAATACATATGAACAAGTACTCAAAGAAGAACTATGCACGTCCTTAGCGTGGGAAATGGAAGATTATCTACAATTTTGTGTGTAGCAAGAAAGTGCAGAAATATGTAGTTTCAAGGATTTTAATGCCAATTTCCAGAAGCATTCATTTAACAGACAGAAGAGCATTTAACTTACAAGAGCTGCGACTGGATATAAAAGCCATCTTGAAAAAATTCCAGAACAGGAGGCACTTTGGTTACATCATGTTGAATATAGATTCATAGAAACAGGACTGGAAGGGCTCTTTCCTCAGACTCATGGACCATACTCAGAGCAGTTATCAAATGGTTTGCTGATAATGTATAGTTCATTTGCTAAGTCACTCAACCAGATGCCCCCTTACTGGATGAAGGCCAGCCTAGAATAGGAAGGGTATCTATATCATCTTCTGCCTGAGAAACACACTAGAACTGAGAAAATTAAAAGATGCAGATGATAGTCCAACATAGAGCATTTTGTTTTGCAAACTAAACAGTCTCATGAGTGAATTGCAGAACTCTATGTGCCCAGCAAATATCTTCCTTTCAAATTAATTAACAAAGTAATTCCCTTTCCAAATATGCACTGATACTCAGCTCATGATCTCCATCATTATGAACTTGTTCAGGTGTTTTAAAATGCAATTCAGCTCTATCCTACCCAGATCTCCTGGGTATTAGAACAAGACATGTGAATCATGAATGCAGGAACTATACTGCACTGAAGATGATCTATGGCCTTTGGTATATTTTACCACTTTTGCGGATTTGATGATACTAGAGTGGTGTGGAGTGAGGCCATTGGATCCTTGATCTTTAATAGTCTCCCCCAGCAGTGCTGCTTCTCAGAACTCTCCTGACCCATAGTACATCAGTGTTCTTAGAGTGAAGGCTGGTCTCTCTTCTTTCCAGGTTTAGACTGGTTACATTTGCTTTTGCTGTAGTGTTGATTTCTATACTTGGAGAAGCCACAAAAAGAATATTTAGACCAATAATAATATTTAGGTAGGGAATCGGAGTTAGCAAGGTTCTGTAAGGTCTTTTGATTTATCTGAGGAGTCTGTCACCACTTTGTCTCATGACTCCCCAAATAGCCAAGCTCCTGAATATTTCACACACACATTATTATATAACCCTTCAGACATGTAAGCAGAGAAGTTATATGGTCACCACACTGGAGACCACGCTTGGTGCTAAAAACCTCAAAGCATCTCTGGTTGCATCAACT